TCCTGCCTGGGCCTGAGAAACACCCACCTTCCCAGCATTCTAGGTTCCCTGGTGGACATCTGTACACCTGAAGACTGGTAACCCAAGAGCCTGGAGGTAGCTCAAAAGGACATCCATCCTGCTGCCCACCCCCTCTTGCAAAGAAGGAACTTTCTATTGCTAAGGATTGAATGTTGTGATCCTCATGAAACTCGGGAGAGCAGCCAGGATTTGCAGGAGAAGTCAAGGGGGGAAAATGACTCAGCAAAATAACCCTTTCCTGGCGAGTATTCCGAACTATTTTTGGGCTCTGGGTGACTGCCTGCTTCTGGTGACAGGTGCTTGATATACAAAGCCTTGCACTCACACACCAGCCTTAATAGTTGTGCCCATTAGCTTGCTGAAGGCAGCCCATGAGGCTTGGCCAGGAGGTCTGGTGGGGGCCTGACCACTGCCTCGACCCAACATTAAGACTCACAGATGGGCTCATGTCAAAGGGGAGAAGTAGAGGCATTAGGAATCAAACTCTTCTTCCCTCCAGGAGCACTTCCTTCTAGTCAAGAAAGGGTATGGGACCGACACCAGCCTGCGCCATCAATCCTTGTTCCTCAGGGTTGGGGGTGGGGTGGTGTTCAAGGTGTGGAAGCTCGTGCCTGACCACCTTCTCCAGACAGCCTCTGGATTCTAGTGACAGAGGGCCTGGCATTTTGAAAGCAACTCCTTGCTAATCCATCTGTGTTAAAAAGGTCTTCCTTAAATTCAACTATAATTATCTTCTCCAGACAGCCTCTGGATTCTAGTGACAGAGAGCCTGGCATTTTGAAAGCAACTCCTTGCTAATCCGTGTTTAAAAGGTCTTCCTTAAATTCAACTATAATTGTCTCCTTGAAACTTGGTGTTTTTATTCATAGGTCCTCCCGTGCCCTGATGCCACAAAGGTCAAGTCCAATCTACTGTCCACTGGGCAGCCCTTGGGCTGTTTGATGAATTAAGATGCCCTCCCGTACCCCCTCTACTTTTCAAGTTCAGTACTTTCCTAGGGGATGAGAGCACAGGGCATTCCCTCCCTATTTCCATTCCCTGCTACCACTTGATGGATGGGACCTCCAGATCTCCACACTGTTCCAGCAGAGCAGCCCCAGGACAGGGGTTTGTGGAGAAGAGGGTCAGAGGGGACAGATGCTGTCTCTGCTCACCTCTCTCCCAGCAGTATCCTCAGAGACCCCACCCCAGGCCTCAGCCAGGTGATTTGCAGGTTGGCAATGCCTGTTGTTTCAATATCTTCGGCATGTGTTTTAGTTTTACCTTAAACCAGCATCTTTCCTGTTAAACAAAAAACTTTCACAGCTGAAAGCTTTTCTAAAAGAAAGGGTTTATTAAGCCACATGCCAGCCAGAAAAGGAACCGGGTCTTGGGGCACACAGCCTGAACCGCCAGCAGCAGGGCTGGGCGGAGAAGACAACATGTCCCGGAGTCAACGGGAACCTTTATATGTCAAGTTTGGGGGCGAAAGATGTAAGTCGTTTTGAAAGAATTGACATTGGCTATAGATAAGGTGGATGGGAGAAGGCGAAGCGGGGCTAGTTGTAGGATAGGTGCAGAGTCCATAAGGAAGAAACGTTTGTTCTTTAGGGCTGGTTGAGGGCAACAGTCTGGAAAGGTCGTGTGTAGCAAGATTGGAGGTGCCCGGTGATCTGTGGCACTAGCGAGCCGTGGCCTGGTGATCTGTGGTTTGTTGTGCCTGGTGTTTTGTGGTACTCGGTGGTTGGCTACTCAGCTCTTTAGGTGATCTGAGAAAGAACCACCTGGAAGTTAAATCAGAGTTCCAACATACACTCAGGCATGCAAGCAGTCTTTTGTTGGTTTTGCCCTGCAGTTGTTAACAGATTAACCTCTTTCATCTCTTCCTTCCACCCCGTGGCCTGCTGTAATTTAATTTGGGATATCTCAGATTTATTAATTTTTTTTTTGGTCATTCTAATTCTGTGACATACATTCTGGTGCACATGCTCAATGGTCAGTGACGTCATTTTGAGAAGAACACGTGTCTATCCAGATGGTCCTGACTTCCAATAGCGTGTCCCTTCCGATCCTAGTCTGATGGCTTCATGAACGGGCTATTCTGGTGGCTCGCTGCCTCTTCCCTTGGCTTGGAAAACATGGTCATGCACATCAAAAAATGTTGTTTTCGGAATTGGTGTTAGAAATAATCTGCTTATTCCAGATGAAAAGCAGGTTGAAAGGTGGGAGAAGTGCAGGCCTCGGGCGTCCCCTCCACTCCTGTCTTCTCACGTGTTCTCCACACAGCACCTCTAAGCTCTATTAGCCCCCAAGTCACACTGTACCCTTTCCTGCCATGCTTTTGCCTTTGCCGTTCTATCTGCTTGGAATATCCTCTCTTGCCCTTCTCCACTTAACTAGTCTGTACTCCTTTAAGATTGAACTCTGGTGCCCTTTCTGAAATCTCCTCAATAGTGTTTGGGGCCTTTTTGCCTTCCATGGTACCTTTGGTATTTCTCTGCCCACTTTTCATATGCAGTGCCAGCCCCGAGCAGGCTGGTGTTCAGGAAATGCCTGCTGATTGACTGAAGGAAAGGCCGGTGGAAGATGAGGCCAAGCGCCCAAACCCGAATCCGACACCAGCACAATACTTGCTAAATGCCTGGTGATAACTAATGGCTTCCCATTTGTAATGTAAAGCTTTGTGTGTGAGTGGGAGAAAAAGAGAGAACCTGGTGAATAGGGACCCTGACCCATATTTTTCCCTGCCTAGCACTGGCACATGGAGTAGCAGCCAAAGGCTGTCCAGTCGTCAGGTAATCAGAAGTGGCAGGGCACTGCTTCTCCGAGGAGGAAGGCAGACTGAGCCCCAGAGAATCCAACAGGGGTGCCACTGCAAGAGGACTGATGATTCTGAGCCTGGCCCCAAATAGAAGCTGGGGTGCATAAAAACTCAGCTATTCTCTAAATAATTTCGTGCCCCTGCCATCTGCGGCCAGACAGTCAGGAAAGAAAGCATCGCATAGTTTCCCTCAGGAGTGGACAGAGCTGTGTCCCATGCAGTGGAGGCCCTAGTAACAGACAAGTGCCCACCTATTTGGCCTCTCTGGCACCCGGAACAGGGTGAGCGCTCTCAAAAGGGGGGCTCTTAGGCATTCAGGTCTCAAAAGTAAAGTCCCTGAAATGGAGGGAAGGCAACTTTCCATTTCTCCAGAGGGCAATCAGTCTGGTGTGCCTTCCCAACTAGGGAATGCTCTATACAGACTTCAACCCAAACCCTAGCCCTTGTCAGGAGACCCTAAAAATAGTGCTGTGATTTGGTAACGTTTGTAATCTCTAGTTTCTGAGATTTTGCTAATCCTGGATGAAGCAGGACTACAGTTCCACTGTTAAATTTCATATTCAGTTGCTTTTAGCTCAACAAAGCAGTGAACAATAATTTCCATTTTGAACACCAAGTGTTTCTCTCCATTCGTACCTCACCTCCAATTATTTCTTCCCCTTCTTTAACAGCCATGTAACATGCCACATGCAAAGCTTTTTGACTGGAGAATGTGTTACCATTATCCCAAGCCCTTTCAATTCGGTCAAGGAAGAAAGCCTTTCAGTTCCTTTTTGCAACATTATCGGCTCGTCTGTAGTGGCATATTGCCATCACTAAAGCTATACTGACTAATAAACATCTTAAATTGTTCACCATGTCTCAAATCAAATTCCACATTCCAAAGCAAGGCTTACTTTGTTTACAAAATAATTGCAGGAAAATTATTGAAACTTGGTGTCTAATATTAAATAAATCAAGTTAAGAGGCTCTGTAAATATAGGCCCTGACCTTTGTCATTTAAATGAATCCCCAGTTGAAACTATGGGCCTGTTTTAGGACCTCTGTTTTGTTTTAGGACTTCTGTCTTTGATCATCAGGTTTCTAAGCTGCTGTTCCCAAAGGGCTTCATTTACATTGTTTCTTAGGAAGTTACTCTATTCCCAACAAGGTGCTTTTCAGACTGCTGGGGGCTGGGACGCCTGCATTACTTGTGCCTTTGAGACAAATATCAGATAGTCTAATTGAAGATTATATAGGTAAATTAAGAAAATGAGCTAAATAAACTGGACTTTATTTTCTTAGCATTTGTTCCCCCAATGCTACTTCTTAGTTTCAATTCAACAAATAACGGGAATTTAGATTATAGCATAGGGACTGTAAGTCAATATTACTGTAATAGTTGTGTGTAGAGCCAGACGGGTGCCAATCACATGGATCACTTCATAAATTATATAAATTATACAAAGGTATAAACATATACCTGAAACTAATATAAAAAAACTTGAAACCATAGGTAAATCTCTATATTTTTGGCCTGACTGTAATAGAATCAATAGAATAATTGGTTATATTAAAAGAGCTAGCACAAAGCTTGTCATTCTGCACATAGTGGGAAGGCTAAAGGGGATGGCTGCAAAAGGTTTTATATTTGGATATAAGTCTCAAACGTAGCTTCTGATAATCATTACCCAAATAGTTTTTTCTTCATTGCTTGGCCAATGATCATTTAGTGTTATTAGTATTTAGTATTGTTATATCACTGTTTCTCCTAAATGAAAAATCCACACTCTGGCATCGGAAACTCTGAGGAGCCTGTTACAAATTCAGATTCCTGCCCTCCACCACTATACCAGATCTACTGAATCACAATCTGGTGGGATATTTTTCCTGTGTGTGTTTTAAAACTCCCAGGAGATTCTGATGTATATTAAAGATAGGGAACCTTGATGTAGACAAAGCCAACTGGTTGCCTTATTTTTCACACTTCAACAGAGCCAGCATTGTCTTACTTCAGTGTGCCCATGAGTTGTTTTCAGTCTTATAAGGCAAACTAGGCCTTGGTATTTAAGCAAAGGTTCCTTGGAATTCTTGTACAAAGAGAAAGTTCTATTATCACATCATTTCCAAGTCCAAGAAATTTCTAATAAGCAAAATGAAAATTACAATTGAATGATAAAAATGTAACTCGATACTAAAGTTTTTCAGAGACCAGGTTAGCATTTTATTTTTCTATTCCTGACACTCATATTCATAGGGGGTGAAGAGATGATAGAACATAATAAAAATAACATACAAACACAATTCAAGAACATTTAACCAACCATCTATTGTAGTTGGTCTTTGTAAAATACATAAAGGTAAACAAACATTTATATAAATTATGCTTAACAATCCGTATACACTGTAAAACAATTGTTAAAATTCACACTAAGTTGCTAGTGCAAGCAGTGGTGTACAAAAGTGCAAACAAGGTTAGTGATGAAAAACTTATCACCAGCTTACCACTTCCACATACTCTGTATTCAGCCAAATACTGAAGGCTTCACCATGGAAAACACACTTATAGTCACTTGACTACATTCACCCCGAGTGCTCTTGCCTCAATATGGCAACTGAGTTCAGGTTAGGAGCAGCAGGGAATACAGAAACCTGTGTCAAGTTGGCCATTCTGTTGTGAGTCCTTATACTTGATAATGGAAACAATTCCAAAGACAACTTGAATGTCAAAAACTGTAGAACCGTCACCCCCTTTCACCCCCCAAAAACGTAAAGCTAAAATTAAACCTAATTTCCCCTCCCCTATTTGAAATGCATGCTAAAGAATTCATCCACTCCAGTGCAGCTTTTCCAAAAATAATAATGCACAAAAGCACTCAAAAGCCTTTCCCATTTCTGCCCTAAATCTGCTTGGGGTGAGTGCACTCTGAAACAAAGTTGAGTTTGGATAAGTTTGCTTAGTTTACTTTGATTACTTTGGATTCTATTTTTTAAAAGTGTGGTCAAAGCCCTGAACAATCAATCAGTGGTATTGAATATATTAATGTTCTAAGTTATAAGGACAAAAATTAGTTGGTTCAGAACTGCACCTTCAATAGACTGTAGATTCCCTTCATACTTGGGGATTTTTTTTACCCAGGTGTGAGGGGATGCTTGTAGGGTTCCGTGGAAATTTGGTTTTAGCAAAATCCCAATTACATTACACAGGGGCACAGTCCCACATTACAAGGGTTCCTTCTTGTTTTTCCTTTTGTTGTTACAAAGCACTAATCTGCATTTCAAAAAAACAATAATAGAAATGACCAGAAGCATCAACATGTAGCTTTGAGAATTTAGTTCTTCATTGAAGATATAGTTTTCTGAACTCATATTTATAGCATAAATATTAAAGGTTTATAGAAAATCTTTAATTCTCTATTAATTTTATATTAAGGAATTTGTATTTGCTAATCTTTTTTAATGCTTTCTTGGAGATTTTTTAAAGCTTCACCAACTTTTACATGTTTAAAATGATCCAAACAATATACTCTAAATACAATGAACACAAGATATTTTGAGAAACTTCCCTTTATATTAGCTATTCTCAGTGTACTATGGTCAAAATTTATTTGGCAATAAATCCTTGCAAACTTCAGTCATGTGACTAACAAGACTGAAATACCACCTTGAGTCACATACCAAATACAGTTTCAGAAAATGTGAACCTTTCTCCTGAAACTCTCAAGTCATGTCAACTAGAAGTACACTGTTTTTAAAGATGGAACATGTGAAAACGCTGGGTTTTGAATGTGACTGATCAAATCATTTTGCAGAAAGCAAGAAATGCTGTTATCACAGCTATTACACTATTTAATTGATTTACAAGTAGTTTATGGACTAGAAAGCACTAGAGAAGAGTGAGCCAGTTGAAAACTAAGGAAAAGAAATAATATTCCGCTTATTTGTTGTAAACCACCGTAAATTTGTACATACACAGGCACACAACACTAAAATTTAGATTGACGCTGGCAATATCTGAACTCATACCTCTTTGGCACTTAAAGATACTATAAGGTTACTTAAGCAATGAAAAATATTTTTTTCATATACAGCAGTCCTCTTATCCGTGGTTTCACTTTCTGAGGTTTCAGTTACCTGCGGTCAACCGCAATCCAAAAATATTAGAGATTCCAGAAAATAAACAGTTCATAAGTTTTATATTGCATGCCATTCTGAGTAGTGTGATGAAATCTCACACCATCCCATTCCACCCAGGACATGAATCATCCCTTTGTCCAGTGTGTCCACGCTGTGTAAACTTCCTGCCTATCAGTCACTTAGCAGGTGGCTCAACTGTGTATTGCAGTGCTTATGTTCAAGTAACCCTTATTTTACTTAATAATGATGGCCCCAAAGCACACAAGTAATGATGCCGGCATTCAGATGTGCTAAAGCCAAGCCAAGCCGTAAAGTGCTTCCTTAAAGTGAAAAGGTGCGTATGTGTATAGGAAAAATGTTTATATAGGGTTCAGTACTATCTGTAGTTTCAGGCATCCACTGGGGGGTCTTGGAACTTATCTCCCATGAACAAGGGGGAACCACTGTACTTTAGGAAATGTCTATGCCTCAATTTAAAAAAATGCTATACTCTCCATTCTAAAAATTCACTGATAAAGAATTAATTTAACCACTTACTCAAAAGTATAATTACAGCAGTCATTGAAATAGGTGTGGGGTTAAGAATTTTTTTTGAAATATAAAAGTGGCCTAAGGCTTTGTATTTTTAGTTTAAGATTTAAGATTTTAAAACATCTTTTGGACAGTGCCTGATTTACATGTAATCCAATGTTAACTTATATATAACAGTATTAATGATTATATCTTCATGCTTTACAGTAGGAGGTACAAAATTAATCTATATCCCCAATACGACCATTACCTGCAACATACTCCACAGGTGCATACACTTACTTGCACAGGCACACAGAATAAGTTTTCCCCATGTGCTTCTACTGTTTCCTGCCGGTCTCTTGAAGGGGAGCGGGGCTGTGTGTGCTCTGAGGAGCTCTCAGAGCTAGATGGTAACCCGATGGCTAGGGAACTCTGCAGGCCCATATCCCCGGAGCTGGGAGGAGAGCTGGTTGCTGCTAAGCACAGCTTCCTTTCTAGGGGTTCAGGCCATTTGAACCTTACATCATTGGGAAAATGTCCACAGTTTAGATGTGATCCATAAAGTGACTCTGTTTCTTTGATCCCAGTGTCGGAACTAGAATGAATTCTGTAGCAAGATATTTTGTACCAAAAAGCACTTTTCCCCCTCGAGAGAAACCAGTAAGCTTTTTTCTTTATACTAATTCATGAGATAATTAACTTCTCAAGTATCACAACAAATCCTAGGAAAAACCTGAAGAAAGGCATGTCTCTGTAGGTACTGAAGACAGATACCATTGAGAGGCAGTTACTTTTAATAAGGCTTAGTTCTGTTCAGTCAGGACATCAGAAGTGAGTGCTTCAGACATATCTGGAAAAATAAACCAATAGGCTGAAATGTCATTTCCTACCTTTTCCTGTTGCTACTGATGTTTCTAAGCAGGGAAGAAGCTCTTTTATTTTTGTTTAGAAGGAAGCTAAAAGTTAAATACAGAATTGCCAAATTACTAAAACCAAATATCATGTTAAGAAATGACCTTGTTAGTTTAAACTGATAATTCCTTCCAGCAGTATTTCTCAATCCTTATCTGCCTCACATGTTACATTACTGATGACAGAAAGGACTACAGTGACTCTGATTTGACACTAGCTAGAGAAACACTAGTATTAAAGTTATTCTTGATAGAATTGGAGCAATCTAGTTTCAATGGAATTGGTTAAGTATACTATAAAATCTTGGTTTATAAACCAAGAGAAATCTTAAGCTTGAGAGTCTTTAAAAATACATATTTGGCATTTATCCTTCATCTTATTTTACTAATCATGGGACTCTCAAAAACATGGAAAAAACTCAATTTCTTAGGAAATTAAAATGTTTTAAAAAGCTCACCAAAAAAATTTTAAGTAAGTCTATCAATGAGGCTTGCAGACACTATCACATGGTAAGTATTATATCTAAAAATAAAAGTCTTTGTGCTGTAAAGAGATAGTTGAGAGCAACCAAGAAAAACGAAAATAAAATGTAAGCATTCATTTTCTTTCTATCAAAATGTAACATGACAAAGAATGCAAAAGAGCTACAGGACAGGAGCAAAATCTCTACATGTCTCAATGACAACTGAAGCAGAACAGGCTTTTTTCCTCAGATATACAAGGCCTCTACAATGAAACCGCACAAGGTCTTACTTGTCACTTGCCCTGGGAAGTACCATGAAGTATAAAGAGACCGAGGAGTACCTCTAAATGTTGGGAGACTGGTGCCTACAACTACGTTTGGTGAAGAGGCACAGATTACAAACCAGGCACCAATAAGACGGGAGCACTTCAGAATTAGACATCTGGAATTGAGAACTAGAGAGAGGCCCATCACACCAAAAATCAACCTTGTGTTGAACCAGAAGATGTGCTTTTCTTCAGACGGCTGAGCCCACAGGGACTACAATATGGACCCTATTGGCACTAGTAATGGTAGTGTTACCAATAAAAATACACATGATTCAGAAATAAGTGTAGTATAAAGTATAACCAAGCACAACTTGTCTTCTGGTAAATGCAAAAACCTCGAGGGACTTAAATATTATTCTAAACATTCTGAAGCGATCTCCTTTCCAAACCACCACCTCACGTATAATATTAAATACTCAAAATTTCAGAGTATACTAGCTAGATAAGACACATTCAAATGAAACATTTGCCCAACAAAGATGCCAAACATGAGGGTTTGTTTTATTGCATGACGTTTGCATAAGAAAAAATATTGAAAACTGTAAGGCATCATGCAATTATCAATAAGCTAATTATCAACTGTACACTTAGGTGGACATAAAATCTAAAATTTAAAAACTAGTTCCAAAAAAGTACATAAAAATTTAACATGATGAGCTTTTAATTATGATTTATATTTATAGTTTCATGTTGTTAAAAAGTGCTTCAAATGTACTGCTGGAAAGTTGCTCTTTATAAATGGCGCTGGGGGTAATGTCAGGTTATAAACTGTAAAAACTAATTATCTTTATGGAATTAGAAAGCTAACATTGTGATAGTCAAACTTACTTGAATCAGTTTTGAATTCTCACTCAAATTAAGTTGATATAATATTAATAATCTAAAAAACATCTGTTTTCTAACCAACAAAAGTCTATTGAATTCAAGTTATGCATGTTCAGCAATCAAATCTCTGAGTAGGCCTGAATGGCGAGACCTGGACCCGATGCAGGTTGGTGTTAATCGATGTACTGTGCCATCCAGCGGAAGCCTTCTCCGTAACCTTGCCTTTTGAGCACACTGCACATGAAAACTTCTAAGGGCCGGGCATTCAGTTCTTTCAGAGATACACTGCCCTAGAAGAGAAGACAGACATCACGTTGGATGACCCCATGATGAAATAAAAACTTCAGCAGAACAAAAGGTGACTTTGATAAAGCCATAACTGTTTGGCATCCGAGTCCCCTAAACACACATGAAGCCCCCTTTTCTTCCTCGACTTTAGGAAAGAATGGGAAGGAGGTGAACTGGTGAGGCACACAGAATGAAAATAATCTTTAACTAGGAAAAAAATTCAAGTTACCCAAACTGGCTTCACAAATGTTAAGAACGAACATTCTCTGAGCAGGTTTGTGACTAAATAAAGCTTTTCCTAAAATTAATAAGGAATTGAGTTATTAAAAAGACACAGAAACAGATTAGACTATGTTAAGAGTCTCCTTCCATAGACTGTGGTATTTCTATACTTAGAGAGAGTATATGTAAACCAAGGAAATTGTTTGTAAAATAAGAGATTTTTCAATACTAAGGTCCCTCTCCCAAACAAATCTTGGTAGAAATGATATAAAAATAATGTATCTTAAAGCTTATTATTAACCCCAGAATGCTCCTATGCCCGAGTTTACATTTTATTTTTATTTCTGGTGAACCCAGGGCCAAAACACTGAACTAGGGGCCTAAATACACTACTGGTATGCTTAAACATTCAAGTATATTATTTGCTAGCGAATTCTGAAAATTTGTGATAAATAAAACTTTGAAAGCTTTCATTTAGTTTCCCATAAACATTACATTTTTATCACCAAGAAAAGGTCTCATTCAGTGGTAGAAAGAAAACAAGTGAGGATGTTAAAGACCCAAATGAGTTTTTTTTTAAATTTAAATATAGGTGGTATACAATATTATATTTGTTCCAGGTGTACAATATTAGTGATTCAATATTTTTATACCTTAAAATGAGATCACTCTACTAATTCTAATAATCATCTGTCACTATGCAAACTTATCACAGTATTATTGACTGTATTCGCTTTCATCTTTCTCACCTATCCCCCTCATCTCACTCCCCCTCTGGCAACCATCCCTTTGATCTATTTCTATGAGTCTGTTTTTGTTCTGTTTGTTCATTTGTTTTTTTAATTCCATATAGTATTTGTCCTGCTCTGACTTATTTCACTAAGAATAATTCTAAGTTCATCCATGTTGCAAATAGCAATTTCATTCTTTTTATTATTGCGTGATGTCATATTTGTGTGTGTGTGTGTGTGTGTGTGCGTGCGCGTGCACGTGCACGCGCACCAGTTTCTTTATCCATTCATCTATCAATGGACACTGGGGATGCTTCCATATCTTGGCTATTCTAAACAATCGTGATGTCATATTTGTGTGTGTGTGTGTGTGTGTGCGTGTGCATTATCCATTCATCTATCAATGGACACCGGGGATGCTTCCATATCTTGGCTATTCTAAACAACGCTGAAGTGAACAGAGGGGTGCACATGGCTCTTCTTACTGTTTTCATTTTCTTCAGATAGATACCCCGATGTGGAATCGCTGAATGATAAGGTAGATTGACTTTTAGTTTTTTGAGGCATCTCTATGCTTTTTTCCACAGTGGTTGCACCAGTTTACAATTCCACTAACAGTGCACAAGGGTTCCCTTTTCTCTACACCTCACCAACACATGTTATTTTGACCTTTTGATAATAGCCAATCTGACTGATGTGAGGTGGTATCTCATTGTGGTTTTGATATGCATTTCCCTGATTAGTGATGTTGAGTAAATGATAGTTTTTAAGCAGCACATGATAATGGGGTTGGACTATAGCTGGACAATAGTAATTTAAGAAGGTATTTCATTGTACACATGAAACTAATATATCAATTATAACTCAGTTAAAAAAAAAAGCCAGACTGTACCAATTGTACTAATAAGCATGATTACCATTAAGGGTAGTGTTGTAATAAACTATTTTAGATGATCAAAATAGATAAATAAAATAAAAAGACATTTATAGTGCTGAATGAAATATTCACACTTGTGAAACAATTTTTTTTTCTTTTACCTTTCCTGTTGTCTGACCATATAAACCAAACATCTCTCGTAACCTCTCTTCACTGATGGCTTCAGGTCTGTCGATCTTATTCCCAAGAATCAGAATAGGCACATTAGCAATGGTTTCATCTGTCATTAGTGACTGAAACACATAACAAAATGAAAAACAAGATGTTAATATGAAGCCATCTGAAGGGCTTATTATACAAGGTACCAAATGGGTATCAAGGACTCATTCTCTATCATAATATGTCAGTTTTGCTAACTTTCTTTGGCAAACATTTTAAAGTGAGCTCAATGAACCATCAGCTCAATTCTTCTTTCTCCCTAAGGCTCTTTCTGTAGATGGTCACTCTGCTTGCTCTGTGAATCAGTGAGGTACAGTGACGAGGGCCAACACCTTGAAAATGGGCAGACATGGTTTCTAGTTCCGCTGCTTCTGAGTTGTGAGATCTTAGACAAATAAGTCTCAATGAAGTTCAGAGAACTACCTTATGGAGTTGATTTGAGAATTACGCAATATGCACAGTGCGTGGCATAAAACAGGATCAGGAATTCCTTGAACCTGTTCCATGACCACAGACTCTACCTGGACTTTTTCACATGAACAAGTATTTGTTTGCTGGCTCTGGGCAGAGGCATTGTCAGGTCAACTTTCAGTCAAATCACAGACCTGTTCCCTCTGGGGCCCACATTTGGCACTGGCCTTGCCTACTGCTCCTGAGCCCCTTACAAAGCATCTATCTGGGGGAGGGGCGGTAAGGTAGCTATACATGGCCCTGCTCATTCCCGGAAGTGGTGACAAAGATAGCACGTTATATGATTTCCAGGTTCTAGCCAACTCCTGAAGAAACTGGCATCCTAGGATGACAAGGGACTCAAGACCAAGTCACTACAGGCGTATAGCAGACATGAAATTTACTACAAGGGCATACTCTGCACAGAGTGAGCTCAAGTCTTTAGGAAGGAAGTCTGTGTTAGTACTTCCTCAATAGCTACTCTGCATTCTAAGTAACCACTGAGCTCCACAAATTGCCAGGAGTTAAATCAGAGACTGCAAAAAGCTGCACTCAGATACCCAGACCTCCAACTTATTTCCTCAGGCTTACCAGAGTGATTCAACTATGTTTAGTTTTAATTATTTAACTTACATCAAGTTCTTCTTTTGATTCTAACAGCCTTTCATGGTCTGCACAATCCACCAGAAATACAATGCCATTGATAGCAGGAAGGTAGTTTTTCCACACTCTTCGAGCTAATAAAAATAATCAGGAGTTAGATTTTATTTGCTGGTCAAACCTAGCAGATGCTTGATGAGACCCCAATAAGATATCAAGTGTAATTATCCCTTAGCTGCTGCTACTTGACTATGTATTCAAGATAATCTTTAACTCAATGTTGCCAAAATCTTTCCAGAAGAAATTTCAGGCTTTTCTTGATTGTGGGCAAGTCAAATACTTTACTCTGTCCTCATTTTCCCATGTTAGAAATAGAATTAATATTTGCTACCAATGGACAATGATGCATGTTCATTGGAGAACTGCTATTATTTTTATATGCAATATTCATTTTTTGACATTTCTAGATTATTAGATTTTTTTTTTGCCAGTGACAAATTTGGAGTCAGTGGCAGAAGGAAATTAGTATTTATTAAAATAATAAAAGCAAACTGTTCTACTCATAATAGAAATAACAAAGTCTATGAAACCATTAGGGTAATTTTTTCCATGACATTCTTTTTTAGAGGAGAAAACAGTTTTTGAGATACCCCAGAAAAAAGTATCTTATTTTCTTTGACTTCAGTTTTAGGACATACATTAAAAACATTATAGAAATGAAGTTTCAGATAAGCTCCATTAGGTTCTAATTCTCTCTAATCATTATATTCCAGAAGTTACTTTATATTTCAAACAATTATGTCTCAAATGTGCTTTCACTAGCCATGACCACTTAAAGTCTTTTCAACTATTTGTCATATGAGGTTTTTAGAATGCCCACTCACTTTGAACTATTCTTTATTTATGAACTACTTTGTGCTGGATACTGCCAAGTCCTTTTGAGGATATAAAAAATGAACAGGATTTTAGTCCCAGAAAAGTCTGGGAGAGGAGATAAGACAGTCTTTCCAAACTTGCAGACATGTACACAAATGCACTAAGTGGCAGTATGGCTGAGAACACTCCAAGCTGGCAGCAGCTTCTCAGAAAAGGCAGCAGCACTTACACTGGGCCCTGAAGGTGGGTCACTCATGTGCAGATGGAGATGGCATGTGCAAAAGCACAGAGGTGGGAGCACACCAAGAGGGTTTGGTTTTGTTGGACTAAAGAGAACAGAAATGGGAATAGTGGGAAATAGACTTGAAAAGTAAACTGGAATCAGATCATAGAAATCTCACATGCCAGGTCAACAAACATGGACTATAATTTGTAGAAATGAGTTAGCCACTGAAGGTTTTTCATACGGAGCAGTAACATATTCGTAACACGATTACGACAATAAGTGTGAGGTAGATTGGAACAGGGAGAGAATGAAGGCTCAATTTACTCATATGGTTTACTACCAAAAGCGATTCAGACTTAAATTGACTAGGAATATCACTCTTTGCTTTTAAAGCATTTATCTGGGGGTAATAATTCCTAAATTTTAAGTCCATTCTGCCCTTCCTGGAATAGAGTGAGATTTCATGCACTGGAACATAATGGTCACATTTTTATTAAGTTGAAATAAAACAAAGCTACTATAAGAGACGGAGAATCTTACCTTGAACATGTCCACCCAGATCAAAAGTTGTAAAGGTCATGCCAGCAATGGTTAGTTCTTCCGAGGCTAAATAATAAAAAATATTTTTACAACATGCAAATCAGAAATTCATTCATGGTATATACTTCTACTTAATGTTTCATTTACTTTAATTGCAAATAAGATCAAATAAAATATTTAGGAACTGATAAAAGAATTCTTTGTTATAATTAGATATACTCCAATTCATACTGACAATCTAACACAAGTAATAGTAACATTCAATTCTAGTATTCACTACCCACCACAAACCCAACACTTATTTTTCCTTCTCTATTTCTCCTGCTAAAAATATTAATCTATTCAGACAATTTGTTGTGAATTCAAGTGACTGTTCCAACTGAATAATTTTTTTTGCAAGTCGCCTTAAAAGATACAGATGAAATAAAGAATTCTCTCATGGCTGTCATATTTTGCAGGTAACAGTCTTTAATGACTAATACAATTGTAAAAAAAAAAATTTTGCCATTATTTTTCCAAATATTTTTTCTGGTCCCTACCTTCCCCTTCTGGGACCTCATAGGGTAGCTAGACAGCTTGATATTGTTCCGCAAGTCACTGAGGTGCTTTTCATTTTTTTTTTTCCAGTCATTTTTCTCTCTCTGTGTCATTTTACAGTTCCTATTGCATTGACTTAAGTTCACTGGTCTTTCTTTCTGCAGTACTGGCACTAATTTGCTGTTAATCCTATCCAGTGGAAATTTCATTTTGAATATTCTATTTTTTATTTCTAGAAGTTGCATTTGGATCTGTCTTATATCTTTCATTTCTCTCATTATGTTCATGTTTTTCTTAAATCCTTGAGCATATTCATAACAGCTATTTTAATATCCCTATCAGCTAATTCCATTATCTTTGTCACTGCTGGGTCTGTTTCCACTGATTGATTTTTCTCCTGGTTATGGATTATACTTTCCTGCTTCTTTGCATGTCTAGTAATTTTTTGATTGAATGCTGGATTTTGTTGTATTCTTTTGAAGAAAGTTGGACTTTGTATTGGCAGGCAGTTAAATTGCTTGCAGATCAGTTTTTAAGTTTTGTTAGGGCAGATCTAGAGTAGCCTTTACTTTGAGGCTACTTTAACTCCATTTCTAAAGTATGATCCTTTGGAGTCTCTATCGAAAGCCCTGTGTATTCAACCAGGTCTCTCCATTCTGGCTGATGGGAACATGAACAATTCCTAGTCCCATGTGAGCTCTCAAAACTATTGGCTTACGGCTCAGATACAATTGCTTTCTCTCTAGAAATTGTTCTTTGACTGGCCATGTGGAGTTTTACCCTATGCATACACAGAATGGTATTCAGCCATGAAAATTTCTGGAGTTCTTTCTCTGCAGAGTTCCTTCCTCTCTGGTACTCTTACCCAGCAAATTCTAGTCACCTTAGCCTCCCCGATGTGGCAAGACTACTGGGTTATATTTGGGTTTCTTCCTCCTGCACTGTGGTCTGCAAATTATCTCCTGTGATAAAGTTTGAATAAAGAAGGGTTTGTTTTCCTTCTCTCAAGAATCACGGTCATGTGCTAGCTATTGCTCAATATCCGAAAACAATTCTAGTATATATTTTTGTAGTTTTCTAGTTGTTTACAGTGGGAAGGTAATTCCAGACTCTGTTACTACCTCATGGCCAAAAGCAGAAGTTCCCTACAATTACAATGAAACATTCAGTGTAATTTTTAACTATTCAGTATAACTGCTAAGGCCCCAGAGTAGTTAATCTTGTTAAAAATTCTGTATGTAGAGTGCCAACTGAATAAATAGTACGATCTGTGTTCAAAGTGTGTTCCTTTCTACAAGGAAAAGTTAATGTTTGGATGTAGTTGGCAAACTGCCTGTATGGTTATACTCCCCGTTTTATTAAAAAATCCAAGTTTGACTGATTAAGATATAGAACACTGTTAATGTCCTAGGAAGTTTCCTCTTGCCCCTTCCTAGACAATGCCCAACTCCACTCCCAGAAGCAACCAGTGATCTGATTTCCATCACCACAGGTTAGTTTTGCCTGTTCCAGAATTTCATATAAATGGCATCGTACAGTATGTAATTTTTTGTGACCATCTTCTACATAGTATATCAGTAGTTTATTCCTCTTTCTTGTTGAGTAGAATTCAATTGTTTATCCATTATTTTTTTTTGATGAACATCTGAGTTGTTTGCAGTTTTGGCTATTACAAATAAAGCTGGTACAAACATTCTTGTACAAGGATTTTGATAAATATATGTTTTCATTTCTCTTAGAAATATACCTGGCAGTGAAATTTCCAGATCACAGGGTAGATAAATGTTACTTTTGATTAATTGAAAAATATAAGTTGAAATGAATGTGAGCTGCAGGAAGGTTGAGATAGCATCTATTTTGTGCCACTGTTTTTACTCTTGGTACTTAGAACAATGACTAACATAAAGTAGGTGCTCAATAAATATTAACTGAATAAATAAGAGAGCAACATCAAAAAATTAAAAAATGACTTACACCTAATATAAGACCACTCTGTAGTGTCTTCCAATTCTGCTGTTTTTTGCAGACAATTTTATATACTCAATTTTACCATGATCATTTTTTCTTTAACAGTATTGTTCTTGTATCAGAATCTTATTTGCCAAGCCCCACTTTCTTCTCCTAATATAAAAAAAGATTTATCAATTTTATGAAATCTTCCTTTTCCAACTTCACTAATACTGTTATAGATAAAGTGGTACATTGTTTTGTTTTGTTCTCTTTCTTGTTCTTTGAATATTTACTGAACTAAATAATTATATTATCTACTTTTTGGTCCAGTTCTCAATTTTCTACTCATTATTAAGGCCACACTCATTATTTCATAATTAATCTATGGATTAACTTGTCCTTAAATTCTGTGTCTACTTGAGTCATGGTCTTTTCAGCAGTAAAAGTGAGGTCATAGTTATTTATAAGTTAGGCTTCTTTCTAATAATTTTGTGACTTCACTTTTTCAAAAGGTACCCATTACATAACCATATACACAAAATGGTATGTATTGATTGACATTCATTATTAATGCCTTTCAGGTAGTCTTTCTTAAAGCACAGTAAATTATTTTTAAATTGTTTTAAAATGTTCCTTTAATGTATCGATACATGCCCTATTTGGGGAATAATCGTATGGTCTTTATATTAGATATTGTTGAAGTTGTGAGGACTAGAAAAATAACTGGTTAAGCTGTGAGTCACCAGCAAAGTATAAGAGTATCATCTGTTCACTGAATAATGATCAAAATAGTACAGTTTTAAAATTTGAAAGAACTTTAGGTTATGTAAACAAAACAATGGTGACTATTTATAGCCTAAACAATATTTGGTTGAATAGACCTTAATCATGTCATAATCCCTGAGACAATAACTTTAATTCCTCTAGCTGAGGAGGGTGTAGTAAGTGCTAAGAAGATATGAGTATTATTTCAAGATCTAAATATACTCCCTGGGACTTGGGTCACTATTATTTACTATACTATTTTAAGAACAGGTCAAATCACTTGATCATAATTTATCCACCACAAAACACCCAAAAACAAAAAACCTTTTGGTTAGCACCTATGAAATGGTATCACTTGATAAAATAATAACGTATAGGAGAATACACTTACTGGGATGTAACGTTGGGACATGTTGTCCAAGTCTGTCATCTTTTAGCATGTGTAGCAATGTTGTTTTTCCCGCATTATCCAATCCAAGGAATACCAATTTACCAGTTTTCTTATATAATCCTGCAGAGTGAGAGCTATGATTAGTCAAAGTGATATCTGACACAGATTTATCCAAATAAAATGACCTTCAATAAAAGTATAATATTAAGTTTAGTTATTTAGATACTGTTCCTCATTATTCCAGATTTTGGATTAAAAACCACCTGTCAAACTTTTGAACTTTTAAGATTTTGTAAACTGGCCTGAATAAGCTTGGATTTCTAACCTATTTTTAATTTTGAAGAGTTATTTAAAATCTATTATGATTTGGAAATTCAAATAATTAAAAACTAAACTTTGTCAGTATCAATAAATGTGTGTGTTACCTAAACTTAGCTATAGTGCCAAAATGCGGATCCCCTTGACAATTTAACGGTAGATACTGTATCCTCTACTATACATACAAGATGTTAAATCGCTGACATCATGTATTTATGAAGCTAGATCAAAAGAAAATTAAAGAAATTTTTCATTGAAGAAAATCAATTATTTTTGACAATAAAAATTACAGTGAGTTTTTACAGCAAAGTTTAGTTCATTGTCAAATTTCCCTGAGAATAAGGTTAAACTATTCACAGGATTGCATAAAACTAAGCAACAACGACAACAACAAATGCACGTAATTTTAGATCTATCAACCAAGAATTGATAAAGTGGTAAAAACAAAAAAGACAGCATTGACCAAATTATAGTAGACTGGCATTTACCGTGAAGTTCCATATTGAGCTTTATTATTTTTCTTTAAAGATGTTTTTAAAAGAGTAATTTTAGGTTTACAATAAAAGTGAGAGGAAGGCACAGACTTCCCATGTATACCCTGTTCCCACACATAACAAAGCCTCCCCCATTATTAACAACACTCATAAAAATGGTACATTTTTAACCAAGGGTGAATCTCTATCGACACATCATAATCACCCAAGTTTACCTTGGGGCTCATTCTTGGTGTTTTACATACTGTATTTGAACATAGGTATAATGACATATATCTACCATTATAATATCAAAGATTATTTTAATTGCCCTAAACATCTTCTGTGCTCTGCCTATTCGTCCCACCCTACCCCCACTGTCCAGCAACTGCTGATTTTACTGTCTCCATATTTTTGCCTTTTCTATAATATCATATAGTTGATATCACATAGTATCTAGCCTTTTCAGATTGGCTTCTTTCACTTAGTAATACACATTTAAGATTCCTTCATGTCTTTTCATGGCTTGATAGCTCTTTTTTTTTCGTGCTGAATAATATTTCATTGTCTGGATGCACCATGGGTTATCCATTCACCTACTGAAGGACATTTTGGTTGCTTCCAAGTTTGGGCAATTATAAATAAAGCTGCTATAAACATCTGTGTGTAGGTTTTTGTATGAACATAAGTTTTCAGTTCTTTTGGGTAAATATCAAGGAGCACAACTGCTGGATTATATACTAAGACTATGTTTAGTTTTGTAAGAAACCACCAAATGGTATTCCAAAGTGGCTGTACAATTTTGCATTCCCACCAGCAATGAATGAAAGTTCCAGTTGCTCCACATCCTCATCAGCATTTGGTGGTGTCAGTATCTGGATTTTGGACATTTTAATAGGTGTGCGGTGGTACTGAACTTTATTTTTCATCTGTTCAATTATCTAATGCCCATTGAATTACATGAGAACAAAGGATATAGAAGCAGCTCAAAAAATATTAACTCAGTCACCAAAAAAACTTTTAAAGACATTAGGCAATTACAGATTCATGTTACCCGTTTTCTAACAAGTTCATCCAAAATAACACCTAGTTCTTTATCCACATTTAAGTTTAAGAAGTAAGTTTTTTGAAATCCTAATTTTTTGATCACTTACTGGTCAACAATTCTGATTCTATGGGGAAGACTGTCTTCCATATTTACTTGAGCTGGGATACTACACTAGTCTTTTAATTATGAATTCTGAATAGTAATTTCTTTAAACATTTCTATTCTTAAAAGGTTTCTACACAGATTGTTTCTAACCAATGTAATCAACCTTCCCACCCTAACTTAAATAGTAAAAGTGTATTGGATAAGATTCCAAAAGGGAACATCTAGAACATTTAAACTTTAATCTTTAAAGTAGGTTAAACTAAATTCTTATTTAGTGGTAGGCACTGTTAAGCACCTATATATATCATTTCACTTAATCCTCAAAATACCTCTTTGAAGTAGGCATTATTATCCTCTTTTTTTACAGAGGGAAAACAAAGGCTCAGAATTAACTTGGTCAAATAGTGAAATCAGATCAGAAATGTGAACCCATGTCTGATCCGAAAGCTTTGGTTCATTTTCATTTCTCTACACTGCCTCAATGTTAGCCATATTAACCTTCTTGCTCCCAAATGTGATGCAATCTATTTTGTCTTTTCAACATAACTCAGCATAGATTCACTGTTCTATAAACTGAGAAACAGATTCCAACCTGTTACAACCCCAAATCCCAGTATAAAAAAGTTTAAAACTCCTATTTCTGACCCAGTTGTTTGTAAATATGTGACAAAATACTTTGGTCTGATGAAAAAGTTTAAGAATTATCTTAGAGGTAGTATAGAGATCTAACACTTGGCCAGCATAAAATAATGTGAAAAATTTTGTTTTCAAAAAAGAAAAATAAACTCTTGGTTTTTAAAAATCTGCAAATATTAATATTCAACTATGAAATACAGTGACAAAATTTGATCTTACATTTTTCCCTTTTAATATATAGTAAACAAAATTTATATATTTTCCAAACAAAATTTCCTTCATTATTATTCTGCTTGTGGAGAAATAAGTATTTATAAAGGAGATACCATTGCATAAGTATGGCTGTGGCCAATCTGAACCTATGTTGACCACTTTGTAATTATGTGAAATGCTTCTCTTTCTACCAGTTCACAAGATGATTACACGGAGACTAAACTTAGGGCAAAATTTGAAAATGGGAGACTAGAAGTATTTTCATTAATGATTCCAATAATAAAGTTGTATATATCCCAACATAAAAGTTAATCAAAAGCTTGTTTCAGTAAAAAAAATGTGACAAGTGTCAATAAAAGAATGAGAGGCTATGATTTTCCCTATCTTTAAAATCTATAAAAGAGAGGAAGATCACTTGCTGGATTAACAAGTCTCATTTAGAAGATTATAAACTGCTATTTTTGATATCACAGGCACTGTATGAACCATGTTTTTTTTTTTTTTATAATAACGAAAATAATGCATTGAATTCCTATGAAGATTAAATAAGACAGAGCATGTAAAGCACTTAGGTAAACTGGCTAATAAATGGTAACTATTCCTGTTACTAATATTCCTATGAACAACCTTAAGAAGTAGGAATTATTATTGTTACTTTACAGATAAAAAAGCTAAGGCTAATGTAGAAAAAGTAATTTGCCCAAGATTGCATTATTTATAACATGTTTGTATGATTTTAAAGCCCGCATCCGTAACTACTGGCATATAAAGAGGCTCTAAACAAATAAACAATTTTACATAAGTAGGCTTAAATGGATAACAATAAGAACGAACGACCAACATTACCTAAAAACTGTAGCACACTGCTGAAACCACTGTAAATCCAGTCAAATATGAAGGACATATCCAAATCTTATAAGGTCTGGAAAAAAAGCATTTTGAATTTAGTAGTCAAAATTAAACATCAATATACAATAAATGCGAAGAACATTAAATAATCCTACAACCACCTTACTTCAAAGAATTAAACACTCTTATCCAGGTTGCTCTAACCTGATTTATACTGATGCATAAATAACAAAATGCCACTAAAATACTAAGTAGGACCATTATTTCCCTTTCAAAGTAATCAACATGAAAAAGAATTATAACAGCCAGGACTAGAAAAGATATGGTAAAAGAGGCATTGTTAGTGGTGGTGTAAACTGGTACAAATCTTTTTTCAAAATCAATTTGGCAATAATATATCTGTTGATACCATTTGACCCCAAAATTCTACTTTTATAAATTGTTCTAAATATAAAAAACCGTTATATATAAAGATGTGCATCAACATGCTACGTAAGAAAAATTTTGGAAATAATCCATGTTCAACAGTAAATTAAATATAGTATTATGGCCTATGGAATATTTACCAAAACAATGGAGTGGAGAGAGGAAGTGCAGGGAGAACAGAGAAGAAAAAAGTTTATGATAATGAAATGAGTTCCAAGTCTGATTATACCCATATGGAGTAAAAACCCTTTTTCTATTTCTGTTGGTTTTTTGCAATAGTTGGTACCAAACAGTAAACTTCTGGGCTTATTATCTTTCTATATTTTTCAAATTTAAATCATATTACTGAATGTTAAAAAATTCTTAAATCATAGTAGAAAATTCAGAGTATAGTTCAATTCAGCATTTAATAGACTTGTGCTTGATAAACTAATAGCATTAATATGGAAAACAAGAGAAAAAAAAAACTCTTAAGAAAGACCACATCATATTAACGAAGTTCATTTTCTAGAGCTGAATTAAAAACCTCAGGCCCAAAACTTGGGCCAAACCCAAAAAGTTTGAAGGGCTGTGCTATCTTTGACATTCTTTAGACAAAGTATGACACACAAACAATACTTTTTTCTTTAACCGCCTCTCATTCCAGTGGGATGGATGCCAAGCTTGACATAGACGGGCCACCAAACTCAGAATTCCTAGAGGATGAGGTGTTGAGACCACATTGCCTGCAGCAGGAGACAGAAAAAAGAAACAGCTAACCTCCAGTTTGTACAGAGGCCTAGCAGTATTTACCATGAGATTCCCTGGATCCTGGCTAGCCTCTCCCCTCTTCTTTACTCTTACTTCAACTAGCATGAGCAGAATTTTGTTCTTGAAACCAGCTGATTCCTGATTAGACCGAGAGACTGGCAAAATATGAATAGTTTCGTGTGTCTGTATCACAAGCCAGAGTGATAAACAAATCTGAGACTAAATTTAGGCATCTGGTCTTTATGGTTGCTACCCGTATATAAAAGAATGAGACTACAACAGCAACATATATATACAAGAATCTAATATCTTAGAAGTTCTTATTTTATTCTAGTTGAAAATTACACCTCCTATTATCAGTCTAGGTCACATAGAAATTGAAACTTATAGTTAGAGAAAATATACACAAGGGGCTTATCTTTTTTTTTTAGGTACGATACATGTTTTTCAAAGAGAATATAATTTTCACTGTAGAGAATCAGATATAGTGGTGTGTTGAGATATTTTATTTAATTCAATACATGTTTTCAGAGTTCATATTATATCTAAGGTCCTCAGCTAGACACCATGGAGAATACAAATATTGATAAGTATGGCTCTGTCTCTCAAAAAGGTTAGAGTCTAGTGTGATGTTAGTCTACACCAATGTGATTTAACTGAAAAATGTTAAAACTGAATAGGATATTATCTAGGGTGATAACAACTTACCCTATAGTTTCAAGACTTATACAAACACAAAGAAAAAAATGCCTATATTATAAATCATAAACTATTAGATTAATGATCACAAGAGCATAAAAACAGAATAATAAAAATAAATAATGTAACAGGAGAGGGATAGTATGTTCATGAGTCCTGCTTGTCTCTATATCCAAAGTCCTATTCACATAGTTCTAAGGTGACAAGGTGCAGCTAAGAAACAGTTTCTTGGAGATTAAGAGTTTGCTAAAAGGTTGTGAAGGTTATACATGTGCAGAGATGTGAAGCTGAATGCGTACAGCAAAAAGTCAGGTATTGTTAGATGATATGACTGGGATTAGGGAACTGCAAACAGAGTAAAACTCAATGGCTGATAATTAGTGAAGTAGGAGCCAGAGTGATAAATCTGAGACTAAATTTAGGCATCTAGTCTTCATGGTTGCTACCCATATGTACAGACATAAGAAAAAAAAAAACTGTTTCAGTCTTTCAATTTCATAAAGCAAAGCAAAACAAACAAAAGCAGCTGCCATTTGCTGAACTCATAAGCGTTATGGTCTAGGGGTTAAGAGAAGGCGCTCTGGAGCCAAGACTTTCCCACTTACTATCTACCTTAGGCAAGTAACTTCACTTTCCTCACTTATAATGATAATAGTAGCAACTTAATGAGGATAATAGTAGCAACTTAAGACAGCTATTGTGAAGATTAAATAAATTAATACACACAAAGCACATGGCGTAAGCATTCAATATTAGCTGCTGTTATTATTTCTTCTACTATATGGTCCACAGTACTAGGAACTTTCTATATATCAACACTAACTACTCCAATAACCTTTCAAAGTAAATATAGTTCCCATTTTACAGGAGAAAATGAAGCTACAATAACTAAAACTCAATTATTAGTGATTGGCACATGTAAGTTTCAAACCTGAGTCTTTCTGATTTACATGTCCATGTCCTTTCCCTTACATTGCAGTGGCTCTCTAAAGCTTTATAAGTTTTAAAGGTTTATATTTGTTTAAATGATTATGTATCATTTTGAAATCACTCCAGCTCACAACTTTGACATGTAATTCTTTCTTCTCTCTCGCATCCTACATTTATTCATTCCCCAATTCTATCGATTTATGTAGTGAAATCTCAAATTTTCTTTGATTTTTACAAGAGACGCCTAGTTAAGAACATTATGTCACATTCCTAAACTACTATCTTAACTTCAAAGTTTGTTTCTACCCATTGTACGTGCCCTCTAGAACGGTTTCATCAAAATGTCATCTTGGACTTGATTTGTTGCATAGTCAGGGTGACTATGACTCCCAATTTGCTGGGGAGTCTCAGAAGTTATCTCAGTGCAATTATTAGTACTGCTTCCTTTCACTCTCAAAAGGGTCCTGATTTAGGTGTGAGATTATGTGGCCATCCTATACACGTGGATAAAGAGCCACTGGAAGTTTGTGAGCTGAGAAATGATTCAATCAAACTGTTAGTCCAGTATTCCAGAACCTCCACTAGCTACTTTTCCAAGCTTAATACATATTACCCCCACCCCCCACTTGTAGCTTTCCCTGGGTCAAAGTAAACTGCTTGCCATTCACTGCTGGTGACCTATATTTTACCATCTTAAAACCTCTACCCATTCTCCTTCCCAACATTAGAATGATCACCTGCCATCTCTGCCTAACGTCCTCCTGCCTTAAGCACCAGCTAAATGCTATGGAAAAAATGAGTTCTCATTGGTCTTTAAGGGACAGATAGGGGTAAAGAACCAACAGAACTTGGGAAGGATAAAACAAGAAAAGACAGTAGCAATAGTGGAAAGGAAAGGAGTTAGCCCCATCAAGTACAGCGAAAGAGATGTCACGGCTGGCTTTAGTGACAAGGAGACAACTGTTGAGAGCATGAGCACCCTGCAGTTTGCACAGTAGTACAGGAGAGCCTAAGGCCAACACTCAAAGCACAAGGGGGCCTGTCTCCATGATTCATTAACTATGCGACCTTGAACAAGTTACAAGTTTCTTCTGCAGAATCTTTCAGGGTATTGTAAAGATCAAATGAGATAAAATGCACAAAATATTTAAAATATGGTTGTTATTACTAGTGAGAAGTGAATGGGACAGGAGACAAATAGGTGGAGGCAGTCAGGAGAGATTTCTCTTTCAAAAAGATTTTATTCTTAAGGGTGAGATGAGTATGCTGATAAACGGAAGGGATAGAGCTAGTGGAAAGGAGAGGTTAAAGATGAAGAAGTTAACCAAAAAGGGGCAAACTTTCAAGAGGAGCCTGGGCTGAGAGCACATCTCTTCCTCCAAGATTAGAAGGAAAGAGAGCCAGGAATCTGACTCCAAAAGTAAGAAATGTAGAGAAATTCCGAAAAGAGTGAGGATTAGAATAGTTACTGTGTGGGAAAAGCTCAAGTTAAAAGATCATTAAAAAGAGCCAAGTGCTTGGCTGGGGTTGAAAAACATTCACAGCAGTGGCAAGGATAGGACTAAAAGAAGAGAAGGGGAATAGGAAATTGAGTACTAGTGAGAGAGGTTGAAGCGATCCGATCAGAAGTTCAGGCTGAGTGGACAGTTATAAAGGCAAGCAGTAAATGGCGGTGGGGTGAGGATCACAGGCAGGCTTCTCACAATATAGAACTGGGAGAAGAAGGGGAAAGTCTGTAGTGCAAAAGCTGACAGATGTAGTAAAAAAGTAAGAGAAGTGAAAGGTGCACGGAACTTTGCCACCAAAGTGGAGGAGAATTAGAGAGGATTGGATCTTGGTGGTGGCAAGCTCCAAGGCCTGGCTCTGGCAGACAGCTGAAGAGAAATGGAGGTGAAGGACATGGGAAGCTGAACTACAGGATATATTATCTACACTGGCAGACAGTGGAATCACCTAGAAGAATGGAGGGCCTAGCTATAGTAAGCAAGACTAAATCAAGTAGCAAAGTCCTCACTCAAGATGACTGTTGGTAGGTGAGAGATATGACTAATGGAAGGTAGAATGAGGTCAACCTTGAAGGAAAAAGGATTTTTTGCATAAGGATGGTACCAATTTGCTGCTGTAACATTTGTCCCACGAGAAATAATCTAATAACGTCTACAGGGAAACTCTGATTTAGTAGATAAATGAGATATTTATATTTCTATAAAGTTGTGGTTTCTAAGAACTTTAAAACAAGCTATGAGTCATTAGTCATTTTAAAGTAGAGATAAAAATGCCTAAGAATAAAAGTTACTTAGCCACAAACAGATACCTGAGCCCTGAGAACAGGTTACACAACACCATGAACACCCTATTAAGACATGTGAAGAGCAAAGGTCAAGAACAGGGAAACATATACACGTCAGCAGATTTATTTATTACACAAACACCAAACAGAATAAATCCCTATGCAGATTAGAAACGTGATCTACTCAAGTAACATGAAAACCAGTGCAAAGGGTGTAATAGAAGAGAATCTCTTAGATTACAAATAACTTCTTATAGCCTTGTTCCATTAAACCTCTATGGATGATTCCATTTATATGAAATGTCCAGAATAGGCAATCCTTAGAATAAGTAGATTAGTGGTTGTCAAACAGGAAGGGAAGGAGAAACCAGGAGTGACTGTTAATGGGCACAGGGTTTCTTTTTGGGGGGATGAAAATGTTCTGGAATTGGATAGTGGTGATAGTTGCACAACACTTTGAATATACTAAAAACACAGAATTGTATTTATAAGATAAAGTTTATAGTATGTGAAGTAAATCTCGATAATGCTATTATAAAAAAATTAAAGTCAAACTAAACAATTTACATGGGCTTTTAATAGTTACAACAAATTTATATAAGTAATTAAGCAGAACCAGTTAGGTATGAACTTTAAAAAAATATACATAAGAAAAAAATACATATAATATGACATAACAAAATACTCCAAAAAATACTGCTGATTGAAAATTAAAGCTATGATAGTACAAAGAGGCAAATACAACATCAGAATAGGATTATAGACTCAATACATTAATAACTTTGGAAAGTAAAGGATGGAAGAGATGTAGTGAAATGGATAGAGTACCTGTTCTAGAATTTAAAAAATGGATTTAATATGATTCATTTGAAACACTATTATTTCATTCAGAGAAAGCCAATTTCTCTGAGCTCCAGTTTCATCCTACATATAATGAGAATACCATTTGCCTCACAGAGTTGTAAGAATGAATGAATATGATAATGTACCTGAAAACACCTTAAATACTATACAAGATGGTATTAATTCATTCAGACTAAATTAATTGAAATTCAGTGCACACAACTTTAAATGTCAATGTTCAAATTAACTTCAATATTAATAACTTCTAATATGAAAAAGGTTTTAATGATACTCTGATTTTACTTTAAATATTAATAACACCATCATTGATTGTCACCAGAAAGGCACTAGACTAGTTTCTTTCAATTCCAAGTAAAACAATTTCACTAGAAGTGGTTAATCATAATTTTCTACTTAATTGTGTCAGGTTTATGATTAAAATATATTTTAAAAATCCATGAGTATACTATCTGTAAGCTAATTTAGGAATTATATACACCTCTCTCTTGAATTCAAATAGTACTACATATATAAAAAAGGCCAAACTCTGACCATGTTTTGTAAAATTTCAGCCTTATGCATCACTAAGGAGGGACAGTTATGATGTTGAATGTTTCAAGCCAATGCTGCTTTACAAATATTTTCCCCTAAAATTGTTAGATTTTCTTCTTATAGTCTTTAAAGTTTTGAAACAGTGATGCAAATTAAAAACTCAAGAAAACATTCTAGGATTGAATGCATACCAATCATAAAAACGGAACAAGACCTTTTGGTTCATGTAATCAACAAAAAGTATATACTCAAGTTTCCTGTAGGAAAAGAGACTTTCGATTGAAAGAACGTTAAATCTGTGACAAATATAAATAGGATTTTTTTTTGAGAAAACAGAAAAAAAATTATTACGAAAAAGTTATTTGTGAGTCTGACTACTGAACTTGCCGATACCAAATTAAGAAAATGAAAATCAACATAATGACAAATTCAATTCTCATAATACTCTTAATTAAAAATTGTTCTAAAAGCTATACACAAGGAAGAGAAACTTTTCAACACTGATTTTAAAATTATTTGCTTAGTAATTTTAGCAGAGAAATCATTTAAATGAGTTTCAGCCACGTGTACTTAAAGAAAAGGGTGGAGAAATGACTCATTACTATAGAATTCTGATTTGCAAGCTTCAAATGATGTGGCAGTGATTTTTATTTCTGAGAGCCTAATCTTTTATCTCAATTTTCTGATTGAAGTGCAAAGAAAGGAAGGTTAAAATGTACCTTATTTAAACTGCTAATCTTCATAATTACTGACAACACTTGTCTAACATTTCTAAAACAAAGGCAACACCTTCTCTGCAAACTCAGAAAAAGCCAGTAAACTATAATCTTAAATTTCAAAATATTTTGTTAACGAATGCAAATACACTAAACAATATCAGGCGTACACATTGCTTCGATATATCAGCACCAATTATTGACAAATTGTAAATTTTCCTTTATCCCTCATCTGTAAAATAGAGATGATACTTACTACCTTCCTTAGTGGGTTGTTGTGAGCATAGCTAGCGCCTTACTCATAGTAGTCAATAAATGTTCCTTTCCTTTCATTTGTTCAATGAGACTTACTCTTAACTGGTATTTGACCCTGAACATAGAATATTCTTCAAAGTAAGACCCATGATAATACTATAGAGCTTGATATAAGAACATGCAAATATATTAGGTTTAATTTTTCAAGATAAAAGGATCTCTTCATTTTGCCCAATGTACCAAATACCTTAAACTCCTGATGAGTTTGGTTCTCCAACGATGTCAGAGTTTTCGCTGTTGTCAAAACAAATTTCTACCTTGTTGGAAAATCTTGGAACAATTTATAAATCATTACAGTTTTCCCCCAATAGTGTATCTTTTTCTCACTCAAGTGGGACTATGGCAAAACATTAACTACTACTAGTAAAGAAGCTTAATCTGCCCCTATACTAATTGAAAGAGATAAAAACAACACGCCGCGACAGTCTCTTGCGCTGTCAGAGATTCTCCCAGCCTTCGCCTTAGCAGGTGAGGAAACTGAGGCCAATGGGAAGAAAGGGCCTGCTTGCAGTTTAGAGTCATCTCGTTCTTTCCTGAAATAACCCACTGTTTGGGAGCAGTAGTGTTTTGTCCAAAGAACCATCACAGAAGTCCCTGCGTTTCAGGAAAGGAACCCATCCTGCCTCGCGCCTGATTCCAGCGCGGAAAACAGGCGCCCCTTCCTCGCCGGGCCGCAGGCAGGGACTCGGGTGAGTGCTAGGCCCCAAAAGTTCGCCTTCCCGGTGTCCACACCTGCCGCCCTCCCGCTGTCCCAGGAGAATTGGCCATCCCTCACCTGCGATTGGAGAGAACACAATTCCTTGCTTGGTGTCGGCCCTATACCCTCCAAGACCGAACTGCAAGATACGATGGCTGCCGTGGACCCAGCTCGCATCAAATCCTTCCGGCCGGCGGGTGCTTCACTCCCGACTGTCCGGAGGACTGTAAGGCCGTGCGCCCCAAGTTCCGCCTCCTTGGAGTTCTGCAGCCAATCCCCCGGCTGAGCGCTCTTGCTGGCCTTCCTACAGCCGCACCAAGGGGCTTCAGGGGTTCGGG